TTCATATGGCACATGTAGATTTGAATTTTGCTTGCCTTAATTACTGTGACCTGGTACAAGTCAGTTACCTGTTCTAAGGCTTATATTTGTAGCTGGTAGAGATTTAGTGATAATAATGGTAAAAAATATCTAAAGTGAGTACTAACCAAAATATTATATACGTTGTTTATTAGTCCACTGCCTGGCAAAGAATAGTTTTTATGCACAAATGGTTGAATGGAAAAGACAAAACAGAATTCCATCTTCATATTGCCCTCTTTTATGTTTGTTGGTATCAGGAATCGAACTCAGGACCCTGCACTTGCCAGGCAGGTGCTGTGCTGCTGAGTTACATCCCCAGCCCCATATTGCCCTTTTTTGTTCTGCATGCTTGTACCATTACCATAACCACCCCACCTCCTATATATGGGGAATTATCTTAGAAATTTCTATGTGTTTGGGATCAATAGTGGGAAGATCTCTTGTAACATCAGGTGAGCACTTAATAAGAATTATACCTATATACCTGAAATATTTTATTTTTGACTTAAAACTAACATTCATTCATCATGGGTAAATTCTTTCCTTGGAGACTGTGTTGGTTAACTAAAACCTCATGGTATACTTCCTGTCACCTCCTTCTCTGTAAGTATTGCCCATCCACTCAGTTTTAGACCTCAAATATATCAGTAAAAGCAGTTGATTATAAGATCCTCCTGTATACTTTCCTCATTTTTTTTTAAAGTTGTCTTACCTACTTCAAATTCTACAGTAGGGTGGTTTTCTTGTTATTGTTTTTTGTTGAGTATTTTTTGCGTGGAGGGGGTCTTATCTTGATTAAGCCATTCCAAAGTATTCAATCTACTTTTCATAGAAAAATAGTGACCTTTTGTACTTATGTTCATTGGTCGATATTTTTAATCGAATTACCCTACTTTACTTACAAGTACGACTGGCATAAGCCAGTTCAGCAAGAGATGTACAGGTGACTTTTGTTAGGCGTACGGTTCTTCTGGGAAGATCAAGCGAGGTGTGGCATGCTAGAGAGCAGGCACAACGAGGAGCACCCTGGGATATCTGGAGGCTTGACAGAGGGAGTAGAAGGCATGGGAAACAGAAATTGGTAAAGAGAGGTCTGCAGTACCAAGGGGTTGAGCACAAAATGGAGCAAGATGTATAACAGCGTTAAGCTAAGACTAAGATACTGGTTTTCGTGTTCATTGGTGAATTAAGTTGTCCAGCCAGTTGACAAGCAACAACACAATGGCTAAAAAAATCAGTTGGGAACAGCTAATGCAGCCCACCAACCGTCATCACCCACCACCATCATCTGCTAACACGTAAAGGACAAGAAAGGGAGACACGCTTGAAATAAAAAAGTCTTTACCATTGCCCAACAACAAACATGGAAGTGGAGAAGGGGAACAAAGCTATCAGAGATGCAGCCTTAAATGCATTTTCAAGAAAAAAGGTATGGAAAATGTGGAGAAGAAATCCTGGATGAGTAGGGAGCACTGGATTTCAGGACATTGAGGTTCCCTTAAAGCACAAGTGCTCTATGCCAAATGGTGGACAGCCAGGGAATGGGAAGAGGGTAAACGAAAAAAATACAGAAAATTTCATTTAATTCCATATGAATCAAGCATAAAACACAGAAAAAGGGTGGCCTCTTCTATAAAAATCACTTTATGCTTTTGCACACGCAGCTATATATGTAGCCTAGCTTTTGCAGAGGTTTGTCGGTGGTTACCTGGAGACCACATTATAGAGACATTTATTTTTAAACTCTTCTAAGTTTTTAAATATTATCAGCTGGCAAAAGAGCTATGGCCAACATTAAGATGATCTATCTGATGACAGTTTTTCATTACTTTTCCAGGAAATGTAAAAAAATAAGGAAAGGGCTGGGATGCAGAGCCCTCTTCATCTTGCCCATCCTCTGTCCAGTAACTGAGTCCAGAAATCCTGTGTGGGAATTGAGGCTAACCAAAGATTGAGGCCTAAACATTGAATTTTGGCCACACAGAGTTCTGTCTTTTTACTAAAGTGGAAATTTTTCAAGTAAAACACAGAGACCCAACTGAACTGGCTGAAAATAAGTTCTTCAAGGCTTTCTGATGTTTAAAAACCATGTATATGAACTTTATCTGTAGCCTTGAAAAACTTACCTCACTAATTACTCTCTAATTATGAAATCGACCTTGTTTATTTTTCTCTGTGGATTTTTTTCACTCCACCTTCCCTGTGTTTTAAAGGAATGGCAATAATTTCCAAAACATTGTTTCAAGAAACCAACAAAATCATGTCCAATTACCTAGAAAAATATAAATTCCATTCACATTGTTAGGTATGCATTTTGAGTACCTCCTCGTTCCCATCCAAGCATTAACCAGGCCTGACCAAGTACCTCTTCTCTAAAAACATTGGAACCAGAAATATTTCAAATTTCAGGGTTTGTTTTCTTTCTTTTTTTTTCCAATTTGGGATTATTTGCATAAATTTTACCAGTTAAGAATTCTCAATCTGAAAATCCAAATTCCCATATTCTCCAAAATCAGAAACTTTTTTTGAGTGCTGATATGACTCTAGGAAAGTTTCAGATTTTGGGCCATTTCAGATTTTGGATTTCCAAATTAGAATGCTCAGTCTCTATCAGTAGTTATGTGGTTGCTTCTAGTGAGGACAATACGCGCTATTGGTTGGGTTTTCCCATCCTCCGCCCTCTTCAGTTTGGGGTTAAAGAAAAAGTCAGCACTAATGCACGAATAGGTACACCTGATCCACACTGAAATGGGAACAGAGAACATCGGGAAGTTGGCTGGGGCAGGACTATCAGATTGTGGCTCACATAGCAATCGCCCTCAAGAGCAAGGATCCCCCGAACCTCTGAGCTAGACCTGGTGGAATCTTCAAAAGTAATGTGAACAGCAACAGAAAAACAGGATTCCTTGTTGACTTCATGTGTGTTTGCAAAGTTGTGTCAGGAAAACCTCACGCCACAGCACTGAAGATTTTAAAACTATTTGAATTAACAATGCAAGACCCTAGAAAGAGTCTTACAACATTCAAATGACCAGTGACTAGTAAGTCATTTCATCTTGCTTTGCTTCCTTCAAGTCAATACCAAGTTCCAGGGAAACTAAAGAACATGCTTCTTCCACAGACTGTTACTCAACAGAGACTTGAGTCAAAACTCTACAGAGGCAGCTCAGATTGTGCACTCTATTCTACTGCTTTGTTGGTTGGTAGTCCCTGCTATCAAAACAGTCCTTGAAAACTGCTGTCTTCTAAAAAATCCCTGGCCCTTGGTAAGATATTTTCTCTTATTCTTCTGGTTTACCAGCTCATATTAGGTTCATTCAGCCCCAAAATCGCCATGTTCCAGTAAAAAGTGAATACAGTTCTTTAGATTAAAATACCTAAGTGCTTATGGGAAAAGGTCATTCTTTACCTTTGCCTCCTTTGATTCAAAAAGGAGTGCTGTTCCTTCAGCCTGGCATGCTCTTCCCAGGTCACTGGGTTTCTGTAACATTTCCTGAGTTCTACAAAGAAGACAGTGTGGAAGAAGCTACTGTGTTTGCCTGACCACCTCCCCAAAGCCTGAAAATAGTCCATATTGATCCCTGTACCCAAAACAAACAGTAAAAACCAAACAAACCACCCCCGACATGCAAACAACACTGTTTCTTTTGAGCGTGTGTTTCCTGTAATGAGTGTGAAGCATTTCTTCAGTGTTCCCTGGAAGACCCATGAGGAGCTGTCCTTCCAAGAACCACACTTGCTGTTGAGATCTTTTCCTCACGTCTATGATTTCCTTCTGAATCATGTATGGCAACTTCTGAAACCTTGCCTTCTTCCTGAAAATCTCTCCAGTTAGTGTAAAGAGAGGTAGTTTAATTTTTAGACATCATTCACCCAAGAGAATCAAGAGTTTAGCGCACATGATCTTCACAGAAGATGTCAATCTTCAAATTCAAATTCAGATTATCAGCTTACGGAGCCTGCAGTCCTGCCTGACCACCTGCATATCCCTGGTGCTTGACTCCTAGTGGCATTCAACATGGCCCTGGTACATGAAGGAATGAGTGACAAGATGCCAGCTAATAAGATCATGTGACTCCACACCTCACCTTTCTGTATTTTGCCATTGCTTTGGTCATCAGTAAGTCTTAGAGCGGGAAAGGAAGCTACCATCTATTCCTAAATATGGTTACCATCCCCTCTACATTCAGAAATTTTAACTGCCTCCCTGTGTTTTGCTCCTTCTTTACTTGATCCCCGAAATTTTTTACAATACTCATCTTCTAACCTATATTTTTCTTATCATTTAATTATTTTTTTCCTACTCCTTCAATAGGATTGTAAACTCCACAAGTGCAGAAAAATAGTTTTATTCAGAACTATATATCAGATGCTCAGAAGACTGTCAAGAATATACTAAGCGCTCAGTAACTATTTACCAAATCAACAAGATGAAAGAACAATTATTAGTATATTCTCCATACATTAGAATCACTGCAAGAGTTTTTTCTTTGTTTTGTTTTGTTTTAATCCCCAAACCCAACTTCCAGGAGTCTAATTTTTAACAATAGGTGTAGGTGACTTGGGTGTAGCTCTTCTGAGAATCACCGGTTCAATCACTCATTATTCTAGGGAAATTCTGAACCCCAGGGAGATGGAGTAACTTCCAGTTCATGTTTCACAGCATGTTCCAGTTCACTTCCACAGCAGTGCATCTAAGTTTGATAATCTCTGTTCTGACAAGCTTTTGACTCTGGTCATCTATGATATATTTATTGCTCTGGTCATCTAATGTATTTACTGCTGGTCCATCTTTGATCTTTGGGATTAAGCCACTGGAAGTAAAATGGTGGCTTTTGAATTTATCTTGTGGCACATCTCCATAGACAGGGAAGGCATCAGGCTTAAGCAGTAGGAGACTTTTTGATTCTAATATTGACTTCACACAGAAGAACAATCCAATTTCCATGCTAAGTTGTCCGTTTGTCTCTCTCTCCTAGTTCCTAGACATCTCCATTAAATGGACCATGCAGGAAACCTTCCCTCCCAAATACCTTCATCATGACCCGGAGACCTCTCGCCAGCTCCTGTGTGACAAATGTCCTCCAGGCACCTACCTGAAACAGCACTGTACAGCGAGGCGGAAGACCGTGTGCACCCCGTGCCCTGACCACTACTATACAGACAGCTGGCACAACAGTGATGAGTGTTTGTACTGCAGCCCGGTGTGCAAGGAGCTGCAGTACATCAAGCAGGAGTGCAATCGAACTCACAATCGCGTGTGTGAGTGTGAGGAAGGGCGCTACCTGGAGCTGGAGTTCTGCTTGAAGCACAGGAGCTGCCCACCCGGATTTGGAGTGCTGCAAGCTGGTATGTGTCTATGTGTGGCAATGCCAATTATGACCGTACAAAGCCAGATAGTAGTGAAAGTTTTAGGGGATGCTCTTGTCCTGATGACATATATGATAGCAAATTCAAAGGTAATGGGACCTGTTAGATATAAATTGTGTGTCTGGATGGCTTCCAAAGGACCTTTCTCAGAGGAATACTTTGGCACTACAGGGTAATTTAGTGAAGAATCTCAATTGCTCCCTAATGAGATGCATGATAGATTGCTCTTTTTTAAAGGAACACACTCTGAGTTGTGCCGTTCATACATGATATATACCTCTATGTTCACTGCAGCATGGACAGCTTCAGACTGCAATGCTTTCTGACAAACATCAGAAATGATACCAAGAGAGTAATTATGCTGATATTAATGAGGCTCTGGAGTGCTAACAATGAGCAGTTATAATTAATTATGTAAAAAATGAGAATGGCTAGGGGAAAAGCATTCCATTATTAAAAAATGAAGGCAGTTCTTCCTCAGGCGTGGGAGTTGAGTGCCTGGGAGGATAGACTATAGCAACCTCTCCAACTTGCTTATTCTTTATCTTAGACAAAACAGATTATCAAGCCAAGAGGAAGCCCTTGCCTATAAACAAAGTGTTTTCTCTCTGACTTTCCAACAGCAGAGGTTAAGGTGAGGGTTCACTGAATCTTTTAATGCTGCAAGCCCAAGCTTTTCTACCACAGTCACGTGTCCAGCGTACACTGTTAACTTCACATTTGAGAAGATTAAGAGTTTTCACTTACTTAGCTGAAAAAAAGGAGGGATCGCTATAGATTTAGATTATTCACTTTGAAGCAGTGTTTCTCAGTATTATTGATGTTTAGAGCTGGGTAATTCTTTTCTGTAGGGAGCTGTCCCACACACCGTAGGGTGTTTAGCAGTGTCCCTGACTCCAGCCACTAGATACCAATAACAGTCCCTGCCTCCACTGCGACAACCCCAAATGCCTCTAGACCTTGTCCTTTTTTCCCTGGCTGGAACAGTGATCCCTTGTGGAGAACCACTGGCCTAGCAGATGCTGGCTATTCATCGCTATTTAACTTCCCAAAGTTATGATGGACACAGTCCACTATTAGATGACAAGTACACCATACTCTTTCATTTTTGTTGTTGCTCTTTTGAAGTCTGATTGTCTCCCGTCTGTTTTATTCACATCATTCTGTCTGCTGGTCAACCCCATTTCCATGGAATTGCCCACGGCCAGCATGGTGAGTTAGGAAGTGGAAGGCTAAACTCCTCTCATCACTGGAATAGTTCACATTTTGCCTGCCAGGTTATAATTTTCATACGTCCATTGACATTAATAAGGCAAAACCATTACTTAGATGAATAAATCTTGCTTATACACCAAAAGTTTTGTCAAATATAAAGAAGAAAATCCTATTCAGAAAGGTCATGAGCCAATGCCTCTGAACTTCTAGTGAAACTCTGGCTCCACTGCTCTGGGTTTCCTGGGTTAAAGAATTTGAATGGCTAACTTACCTCCTTGTGCCTCACATACATGACCTCTCAGTAGATGCATGATAAGACCACAGTAGCACATACAGATCTGAACAGTGATGAAACTCTAGCCTGGAACACGTGGCATTTGGGAAAAAGCAAGTTGGGTGCACATGTCCAAGTCTCTTGTCCCGAATAAATTAGCAGTGAATGAATGTCACAGGAGTCTTGGCCAAATATCTCTGTCGATAAAATGGTAGACGTTGGTTGTACAATTCTATTTAAGGAGAAGGATGTAGTAAGAAAGAAAATTTTAGAAGAAAAACAAAACAAAGGCACTTTGCTTTGTCCCTGAGATCATGTCACAACAATGATGGAAATAGCATCTAATAACACACTCAGGCTGTGCTTTCTCTTCCTCCTCTCTATTTTTTTCCCTCCAGCCCTTTGTCCTCACAGGTCAATGAATCGTCAATCTTTTTCAAAAGGAAGAGAAGAGATGGAATAAGAACCAATCCATTTTGCCCCTCACCCCCATGTTTGGTAGAAAATATAGTAAAGTAGATGGTTGAAATTTATAATAAATGAAGTTGAATAGCTTCACGTAACTTTCATTTGCCTCTTGCATTTGTTATCTTCCTAAGCTAGAATTGACTCATAAAATCTACATCTGAATACTGAAGTCTAAATCTGTTCAACTAGCTTACACTAGATGGAGATATTTTCATATGCAAATACATTATAATGTATGATCTGTCCATGCAGAATAGAGTCAAGGGTTTGAAGATATTTATTCTCAGCATCTTTAGCTATTAGACCTGTTCAGATTTTCCTACCAGTGTATTCTCCAAATTTATCAAATGCTTTACATCGTGAAATAAAATGTCCTTGCAGGTACTCTTTCTGAAGACGTAAGGTCTGTGCTCTCTATGCAACTGCTTAAGCAAACGGTATATCATCTTCCATTTACTGTGGAACTTCACTGCAGACTGATGCTTTGGAGTCAGCGGCCAACTTTACCAATATGTTCAAGACTTTATTAGAATGTTGTAAATTTTTACTTCTCAAGGTTAACCTGCCCATGAGTTTCTTCACAATTAAGATTCAGGAAGTAAAGAACTGCGGTAGGAACTGACTGGAATTTAACAATGCAACTTTCCATGGGAGCTGATTTCAAAGAAGGACGTTACAGCAGGCAGACACATGGCAGTTATCTTGATGATTTTCAAGGAGTAACTGGGGGAAGAGTGTGGTGGACAACAAGCCTTGCTGCTGCTTCAGCAGAGGCAGGACTAATGAACACCATTCTCTTCTCTTTTCCCCTCTCATAGCTCACAAGTGTTTTGCAGGTATCGGCAAAACAAATTCACATTTCTATTATAGGAAGGGGAGCTTGCCCTTTGGGCTGACTGTAGAAGTTTTGTTCTGTCTAATGAAGTGAAAAATAAAGAAGCCCAAAGTTTTGTGCGCCATCAGAGTAACGATAAAAACCCAGTCTTCCGCGAACCGGGTGAAGCAGGTTATCTGCTGTGAAGTGTTGGAGAAGAAGGTGCTAAAGGGCTTGGTGCTTTCTGTAGGAACCCCGGAGCAAAATACAGTTTGCAGAAGATGTCCAGACGGATTCTTCTCCAATGAGACGTCGTCTAAAGCGCCCTGCAGAAAGCACACGAACTGCAATGCATTTGGTCTCCTGCTAACTCAGAAAGGAAACACGACGCATGACAACATATGTTCTGCAAACAGTGAAACAACTCAAAAATGTGGAATAGGTAATTATAGTCCAAACAGTCAGCCTGGGTACCTCTCTCAATTGAGCACTTTAGCCTATGGCCATGTTCTTAGTCGAACTCACATTTCCCCTTCTTGAATCTTAACCAGCTTACCTGTTGCTAACACCACAGCTCAAAATTCCCCGTGAAGCTCGCATTGTCTCACAGATAAAACCCCTGCCTTCTGTCCTTTCACACTCAGGGGCCATGTCAGGTTTGTTGCTTAAGACCAAATTAGAGTTCAAAGTGTACCTTTTAAATTATGGATTTTTAATCACTATCAAGAAAGTCTGTATTATTAACTAAAGTATAAATGGGTAGCTAATAAACAAACTGACATAGACTGATGACACATTAGAAATACATACTTGGCTTTGTTACCAACGGTACCACTGGATTTGTTGCATGAAAGTTCTAAGGCACTCTGGGTGTCTTAGATTCTTTATTCAGTGAGGGTCACTAGCACCAAACTCCAATCATCTGAGCACATTCCTTGGTGGTGATCCCCCTGGTCAGGCTGCAGTATGCTCCCTCCCTGTACCTTTCACCAGCAAACTAATCTCAGACTTTCACTGCAGGGCACATCACCACCAAGGTGCTCTGCTTGTGTGCATTAATCAAACAATGGCATGAACCAGCCTGGTTCTCCCCGAAACATCTTTTGGTACTGCTTGGAAGCATAGGAATGAGAGTTGATATATTAATGTTAGCAGCAACGTTCTAACATTTTGTCACTGTTTTGTAGAATTCTGAGACAAATCATTGAGCCTTTCTGCTTTTTCTTCATCTAAAAAATGCAATTAAAAAAGAGGTTAAAAAAGATTAATTTCTAACTTTAACATTCTTGCTCGTCTACTTAATTCATTTTGAATTTTATTTTTGCAACTAACTGAGCACTGTGTGCCATACACTTTGCTGTTCAGGCTGCAATACTTACAAAAACTCTGTGGTGGTTTCAGGATTCATAGGGCTGGTGAATGGCAGAGCTAGGATTTTAAGTCATGGCTGATTAAGCTAAAAGCAAACTCCTAATGCCTGGCATATACTTACTACCTCTACCCAGACATTTGGACCACTTCAACTCTTTACTGAATTACCTTTTTTATGCTTATTCTCCCATATAATCATACTTTCATGTGTGTGGTTCTGGGAATCAAACCAGGGTCTAGCACACATTGGGTGAGTGCTCTACTGCTGAGCTGTATCCCAGCCCTAATGCATCGTTACACATCTGTGTCTATGGGTACATAAAATAATGTACCGTTCCAGATTACTGTTCAAGCTGCTTATGGGCAATGATTATTTTTATTGTGATACTGACTTTGAGGTACCTTGTAGACTTGAAGTAAGCCTGTAACAGGGTGTTAATATTTACATTACAGAATTTTACCATTATTTAATTTTATAATTTAATCTAGTATAATTTAAATATGTGTATTCATATTGGACATAATTAAACTCTTGCTGTCGCAAAAGTCCCCCAACCCAAAATTAGAAAGCACACGATCCTGTTGGTCTGTCCCACTAAGAACACCCAAAAGAATGTTGATTTTTTTCCAACTTTGCATTTTAACATATTGTATCTTAGAACACTCAGTTGTGCTGGTGTTTGCTCTTGTTTTAAAGACTTCTGGAAATCCAGCCGCTGAGTAACTGTGTTTGGTTTTCTTGCCTTTGTTCAGATGTTACACTGTGTGAGGAGGCATTCTTCAGGTTTGCTGTTCCTACAAAGTTTACGCCTAACTGGCTCAGTGTCCTGGTAGATAGTTTGCCTGGAACGAAAGTCAATGCCGAAAGCGTGGAGAGGATAAAGCGACGACACAGCTCACAAGAACAGACTTTCCAGCTGCTGAAGTTATGGAAGCAGCAAAACAGAGAGCAGGACATGGTCAAGAAGATCATCCAAGGTACGCTTGCCTGAAATACACGAGTCGATCAAAAGTCAAGGACATCTATTTGCTGTAAAACAGCCACGGGACCATGTTCTTGTGTGGTTGTGTGGGTGTGGTGTTTCCCCTCTGAAGTTACTGTTGGGCCGAACAATTTTCCACCGACTGATGAGGTTGACGCAATTCCTAAAGAGTACTCCTGTAGGTGAAGTTTGATTCTCTCCTGCCCTTACTTCTCTTTAAAGTGCACTGAATGCCCAAAAGAACAGAAATGCACTTCACATTCAGGACTGGACTTGAGGGGATCTGCTTCCAGTAGATCCCTCAGCTCTTGCTTAGCTACCCTCGGGCTCAGCTAGGTCTTTAGCAGCTTTGGATCTTGGCTTGCATTTCTACTCCAAAGCTGTGAGACTGAGATGTGTTTGTGGAAATTCTTTCCAGAGAGGCAGGAGGTGTCTTACAGGTACCCTCTCACTAATCCTCACACTTAGGCTGCGTTAAATTACCATTTTGATAGCCTGTGTGGTAAGGATTAGTAAGATAAGGACTGAAAAGTGTTTGAGCTTCTTGGAAGAAAGGGCTGGTGAAGATTATGCAATCACGTATCCTAGAAGTTTCTAAAGTATCTTCTTAAGAAATGGTGCGGAAGAGAGGAGAGGGAGACAGAGGGAAAGGAACAGTGACAGGGAGAGAGGGTGCCTGAGTGAGGCAGAAGAAATCCCAAAGAGGAAGTAAACCTCATCCTGTGTAGACTGAAAGCTTTAGAATGCATACTGTGAAGCATTCCCTCTTCAACTGCCAGGATAAGAATGTGCCAGAAAAACGAAGGGGGTGGTTTCCTGTTGCAGACAGTGCCAAGGAGAAATTTGTTCCACTCTTCCCAAACCCTTAAGTGAGTTTTCCTACACTTTTCTGAAAACTTCAAACATCTGAAACCAGGACAATAGATTTTAGGAAAATAACATCTTTTGACAGCTGAATGCTTTCACTTACGCAAAGAATAAACTTTTCTTCTCTTTGTGGTGAAACAAAAGTATTCTTTGAATGTATAACTAGCCCTGAAGCAAGAAGAAAGGAAAACAAAGAATCAGAAACTGTTAGAATGGGAAGGGACTAAGTTCCCTACTTTATAAATGAGGGCATCGCAGCCCAGAAAGATGAACTGACTTGCCTTAAGGCTCACAGATACTAAATGACTCACATCGTTAGCAGAAACATTAGTTACTCCCTCATTTGTTTATGCCCAAGCTCATTGTTGCAACTTCCCCCAGGCTATGTGTATTCGCCTATCCCCGCACTTTCAGATACCTTATCTCACAGTGGAACTCTTCTGGAGCTGTATATATTTATTAAAGGCTAGCTAAAGCAACTCTTTTCCAACATGCCTATGCCAGAAGTCACCTAATAAAATTTTACATTACAAAATAGTAATTTTTGAAATGCAGAAATTTATATTATAAAATTACTAACAATATTTTATTTCTGTGTTCCTAAAATGTTACAGCTTTAAGGTCTAAATTGTGGAACACTGAGAGTGATGTGTCTACTTTTCTGCAGTTAATATTAAAAATTAGGGGCTTCTCACAAAGCTTTGTTGGATGCCCAAGATATGTAGTGTCTTATTCTATTATAACACAAAATAATATCTCTCTTAGCCCGCAGAAAGACCTAGTGTTACTTAAGCCACCTTAAAGAAAAGAAGAAAGGAAAAATTTATCCTTAACAGAAAAATTATGAATTCTTCAAGAACATTTTGCCTCAGGCTGGTTTTGGAATAGCATTGGATGAATATAAATGACTATTTCTTTGGGCTCTTGCTTTGTACAGATATCGACCTCTGTGAAAGCAGGGTGCAGCGGCATATTGGGCACGCCAACCTCACCTTCGAGCAGCTTCTCAGCTTGATGGAAAGCTTACCAGGGAAGAAAGTTGGAATAGAGGACATTGAAAGAACAAGAAAGACATGCAAATCAAGCGAGGAGCTTCTGAAGCTGCTCAGCTTGTGGAGGATAAGGAATGGCGACCAAGACACTTTGAAGGGCTTGATGCATGCACTCAAGCACTTGAAAACGTACCACTTCCCCAAAACTGTCACTCACAGCCTGAGGAAGACCATCAGGTTCCTCCACAGCTTTCCCATGTACAGACTGTATCAGAAGCTGTTTCTGGAAATGGTAGGGAACCAGGTGCAATCAGTAAAAATAAGCTGCTTATAATCAGAAATGGTCATTGGACCATTTCCTCCCAAGGGGCTAGATGTGCTAGATGAGTAGATAGTTTCTCAGGCTTTTGAGGGAGTACAGTGATCTCTTTCTCGTCACCTGTGCCTAATTTTGCCGCAGGGCACTAAAAGAAGCTATGATGTGTGGAAAGAACTAATGTCTCCCCAGAAGCTCAGTGAATCCCAAATAGTTTGTCCCACTGTCAGATCTGGCCCAGTACCTACTGAACATATTTTCTCTATTACTGCTTACAAGTAACTCAACTGGAAATAATAATAATAATAATAATTAGACTCCATTGTTCCTTTCTAAATATGGGAATGTCTAACTTTAATAGCTTTGAGATTTCAGCTATGTTAGAGGCTTTTATTAGAAAGCCATATTTTTTTTCTGTAAAAGTTGCTAATATATCTGTAACACTATTACAGTATTGCTATTTATATTCATTCAGATATAAGATTTGTACATATTATCATTTTAGAGAGAAATGTATAAGACAACTTTAGAAAGAAAAATATATTCTGTTTATTATTATGACAAATGAAAGAGATGAAATATATTTTTTATTGGAAACGTTATAGAATTTTCTAATAGGTATTGCTATTTTTCCTGTGTGGGGTGTTTTTACAACATAATTTTATCTGTATAAGCTGTAATATCATTTTATAGAAAATGCATTATTTAGTCAATTGTTTAATGTTGGAAAGTGTATGAAATATGTTATCTGAATATCAGATGCTCTGAGAAATTGAATGTACTTTATTTAAAAGATTTTATGGTTTTACTATATATGAACAATATCATTAAAGTTTTCAAATTATTTTTTATTGCTTTGCCTCTTGCTTTTATTTGAATGGGATGTTAATGGGTCTTCAACTTCCATGGTTACCCTCCCTGTTCTCCTTTTACCACTAGGACATGCAAGGGTTGTTAAAAATGCAGATTCCTGGGCAAATCTGTTGAAAACCTCTAGGGATGAGGGTAGAAACCTGTATTTTTAACAAGCTCTGTGGTAACTATTATTACATTGGAGTTGCAGAACTTCTGAGGTTAGTTTTAGTATACAGATGGTGTAAGCCACTTTCAGCTGTTCCCATAAACTTTGAGAAGCCAAACTATGGGAGCTCTTTCACCGGCAAATAATGGGCTCTGGCTTACTTACCTTAAGAAAAAGAAATTGATTGGATTTAATATTTTTTCCCTCACAATGCGCTTATATCATAATCCCAAGAATCTGTGAATACTACCTTGTTCAGAATAGGAGTCCTTGTAGCTGTAATTAAGGATTTTTTAAATGAGGAGTTCATACTGGATTATCAAAGTGGGCCCTAAATCCAATGACAACTGTCTTCCTGAGAGACATGCAGCATGGACAAACAGGAGAGGGTGAGGCAGTCGTGGAAGTGGTACACCTGCAAGCCGAGGAAGAGGAGGGTGTAGCTTTGCCCCGTAGCCTTTGTGGGCAGGGCAGCCCTGCTGATACCTTGATTTAGGCTCTCTGGCCTCCAGAGCTGTGAGAGAATAAACTATCATTGTTTTAAGCCAGGCAGTTCTTAACAACTTGCTACATCAGCCACAGGACATTAATACAGGTGGCATCCAAGCTTCATAAATGGCAGAAGAGGATGATCCTGGGTTTTACAGGAGCTAAAGTTCCAGCTTTTTCTCCTAATCTTACATCTCTATATGTTTTAGTCTAAAATTCCCAGTTTCTAGGGAAGAAGCTTTGATTGTGGTAGGGTGTGATTGATATAAAGACATGGAGAACGAGGACCTGTCCTTGTTATCTGTATCAATTCCCAAGATACGTCTTCCTATCTGAATAAGGGTCCATCGTGCTCTGTCCTTCCTCATTTTACTGTGACTTATTAGGGTGTAACATTGACACAAATTAACATGATGTTTGTGAAATCCCATCAGATGTGGTCAGTTTCATAGATAGATTCGGGCAACTGAACTTGGAACAGGCATTTGACTGTTGCCATATTTGACATGGGGACGCTGAGGGAATCTGATGTCAAAGGGTTAATCCACAGGATGGGGTGAAGTAACAGCCTGCACCTTCCCTCCAGAAGCTCCTGTCCATCTACTAAAATTTTCATTTTCAGGACCCGAAATGGCCCACACCAGCCAGTTAAGTTTAAGAAAAGTTGCCCAAAATGGCATCAACACTAAGTTATTTAAATTCTTATTTGATTGGCTTCCCTTGTGGTTCCTTGGGGCCAGTTTACCTCAAGCTCTTTTCCAAGGGAGACAAAGTACGTAAACACCATGTCAGTCAAGTTTTCTTTTCTTTTAACTTTTAGTTCCGGAATGGTTTTCTCTTCCCTAGCCCTAGAATCAGAGTTTTCCTTTTTATAGAAAATGGCATTTAGAAACCAAAAGCTATATGCTAGGTATGTTCATTGCTACCGAAAAACCACTACATTTAGGCCTTGTTAATAGACAGAGCTAGTAAACACATGCATGTAAATTAACCCAAGTATGCATACATATATATTTATGTGTATATGTGTGTACTATATATTCTATCACGCATATACGCACACTTCACTGAATACATTATAGCCTTCATCTTCCTTCCCTCTGATGATTCATAACTTTTTTCAGAAGGTAATAAACATGGCTCACATTAAAACATTTATCTTCTTAATTATAGTTGCATATAAAGTATTTTTGTACTTGCTAACAGGGGCCCCGTGAGAAATTTACCAGAAAAACCCAGGGTCATTTCACAGGACCTCCTGTCTCTAGGGCTCATAACAATTCCATCACCTCCAGCATCTTACAAGGAGTCTACCTAAGACTTTCCCTAGGCTAAATACCTGCTTAAAGACTGTGTCTCTTTTGTTGTCTGTTCTTTTCTTTTACAAACTCTTAGAAACCAGTGAGCTCTTTCCCATCCCTATAATTTTGCATTCTCCAAAATGTCATGAGAACCAAATCATATAGTATGTTACCTTTTTTGTGACTTTCCTTCACTTCACAAAGTGTTTCTGATTACTCATATGCCTGTGAAAATCAATAGTTTGTTCCTTCACGTTTCTTATTATTTCATTAAAAGGACGAACCAGAGGTTTTAGTTATCCATTCACTCCCTGTAGTGCATTTTAAGTGTTTTCTGTTTGAGGTGATGATGAATAGAGTTGCTAAAAATATTTATATGTAGATTTTTATGTACACATAAAATTTCAATTACTGTAGGTAAATACCAAGGGTTAAACTTGTTGGGTCATACTCTAATCGTATGTTTAACTTTGTAAGAAAGTGCTCCTCTTCTCCTCTGGCATTCTTCCCAACAATGTGAGGGAGTGGAGATGTTGTAAAACTATAGCCTCCCTCACACTGTAGCTGTTGTTTTACAACTTCACCACCTCTTCACATTGTTGGCTTTACTTATTTTTATTTTAGCCATTTGTGTACTGTGTAATGGTACCTTAGTGTGTTTTTCAGTTGAGTTTGCCTGATGTCCAGCTGTACTAGTCTGCTGGAGCTGCTATAACAAAACACCACACACTGAAGTGGTTTAAACCATGAAATTTTATTTTGCACAGCTCTGGAATTTGGAAATCCCAGGTGAAGCTGCTGTCAGGGCTGGTTTCTGGCAAAGTCTTCCTCACTGACTTATAAGTGGCTGTCCTCTCACCACATCCTCATAAGATCTTTCCTCTGCAAAAGCAGAGAGAGTGCTGGTATCTCTTCTTCGTCTTACAAAGAATCTACCTAAGATTTTCCTTAGCCTTAATTATCTACTGAAAGACCTTGTTTCAAAAAACCATTAGGGTGTAGAGCTTTAACATATGAATCAGAGGAGAACACCACAGAATCTCTCACTCTAATGATGTTTAGCACCATTTCATATATTTATTGATGACTGTATATCTTCTTTGCTGAAGTTCCTGTCTAGTTCTTCTGCTCATTTTAAAATTATATTGCTTATTTTCTAATCACTGAGTTTTAAGAATGTTTTCCTATTCTGGGTAGAAGCCCAGTCCCAGACATATTATTTACAAACCTAGTTGCTCAATCTGTGGCTTACATTTTTGTATACTTACTGTTTCTTTCACAAAACAAAGGTTTTGGACGCTAATACAATTTATCCTCTCTAAAATGAACTGTGCTTTTGGTATCATATAAAGATATGTATCAACAAATCCAATAGACGTTCTTCTGTTTTTGTTTACAGTTTCATATTTGACATCTAGGTTTATTGTCTACTGTAAATTAATTTTGTACAATTGTGCTGAAGTCTATTTCTTCACCTACGAACATTTAACTGTTCTAGTAAGACTTTTGAAAAGCCTAGCATTCATCTATCAAATTGGCTTTGTGTGTTTGTCCAAAAAAATCAGTTGATAATATTTGTGTGTATATATATTTCTGGCCTCTCAATTCTATTCATTAATTTGACTCTATCCTTTCACCAGTATTACTATATTGTATTCATTACTGTCACTTTATAGTAAGTCTTGAAAGTATTTCTGATGACTGTTCTGTCTCTTGGAATATACTATTGTTCTTGGCTTTATGCCAAGATAATGGCAAAAAATTCACAGCTTTTTGTTAAAAGACATAGACTGTGACGTTCAGTAAAAACAAATATAGCTGGTTGCTACAGCTGGCAGTGGGGATGCCTTTTTCCTTTCTTCTGCTAGGGCCTGAATGCAGAGCTTTGCATTAGGAATTGGGTTATTCTCTGCTTTTTGTTGTTGTTGTTGTTGCTATGGTTACACTCAATACATGGACAATTTTAATTCCTGTAGATAGGTGTTTCTCAGTGGATGTATACTGAGCAGTCTGTTGGATTCTGATTTTGGGGTATTTCCTGTGAGCCATGTCTCAGAGAGCTTCTCTTTGCACATTCTTGTTGCCCTCCTGTCTCTCTCTCTTGCTCAACACTGGAAGGCAGTGTCTGGTATTCTGATAAGGCTGTGTCTCAGATAGGTCTTTTCCTGACTGCAGTTGTGGACTCTGCACTCAATCCTGCTGCTCTTCTCCTTCCTTCCTCTTGTATTTTTTTTCTTCAGCTGCAATAAGTGGCCATCCTAAAGCAGGGTTTTTGCTCTCTCTGTTTCTCTAACTGAAGTGTCTTGCCCTCTCCACAGAACTACTGTTCGTCTTCTTCCTCCTACCAAATGTGTATGCCTCTGAGTACTATTCTGAGTACCCAATGGAGTTCATGGAGAAAGAGCTGCAAAAGGAGGTAGACTGTCCTGATTTTTGTAGCCTTCAGAAGCTTCCACACTGTGCCACTACTCTATACTCAGTCCTCATCAATTTTTCAGCTAACTGCATTCTTGCTGTGGTCCAGTTGCACATACTCTAGGCAAGGAAGGCAGTCAGGCATTAGACTTTGGACCTTTTACTTGCTCTGTTACCACAGGTCTCCAGTGTGTTTTTAAAAAGTCATGTATCTGAATTTAGAACGGTTCTGTTTGTTCCTAAACTAGGGAGCATTATTAATACTAACTCTCTATCTCTTCCAGTTCTGAAGATAAAAGGGTTGGAATTTATCAGCCAATTTAGCCAATTTTGTTGCTTGAAGACTTAATGTAAAAGATTGATTTAAAATTAAAACTATTTCTATGAGTCTAGACCCACTGTTTTCTCTTGTCCGCCTATAGACTTGCACGTTGTGAAGTATTTTTCATGGCTTTGTATTATGGACTCAGATGTTATCCAGACACAATTTTGAAAGTCTTTACTGTAGATGTGTCACCAAGAGCATTCTACCAATGCTATTTATGTAATACACCATTGTATCTATTTTGTGTCTTAGTCAACAGATCATCCTCTGTTTTCACTTTATGTCGAAAGTCTCATTTGT